TTAGGATTGGACAAAACTCCCGAACCAAACAAAATTGAACTAGACCCGAACCGAAATGAACCGAATCAAGCGATTTTTTAAAAATTAAATACTCGAACGAGTATCTGAATCGAGAATCGATAAATTTGGATTCTCGGTTCTAGACCAAGAAACGAAAATTCGAATAAAAATCGAATCTCTCTAATTTTTTTATCTTAAATAAGTCAAATTATTTTTTTTCTAAATAAATTTGTTAAGTAATTAATTTAGTCCAAATTCAAATTAAGATAATCCAAATTCTGATTTTACTATTTTTAATTTCCAACTAACCCACCTTAATCAAATTGATATAAGTTTTACCTAAATCTCTTATTCTACCGTAGTGTCCTTTTTACTGTTCTATTATTGTGAACTCGCTATATTCTTCTTCTTGTGATTTTAACAGTCAAATTTATGAAGAATTCAACAAAGAGTGACGCAAAAATATCACGAGATTGAACTACGTTATTTTATAAGAGTTAAGATCGAAAATGTCATGTCAAATTAATGTAGTGTAGTTGTAAATATAAAAAAAATTAAGTGTTTACGAAACTCGAGAACTGAATCGAACGTAACTGAGCCCGAACACCGGAAAATTTGGATTGGGTTCGATTATCGTTAGAATCAATCCGAATCAAACCATGTTTGGCCCTAATTTTTATTCGTGTGTATACCATTTGCTACAAAATAATAATTTAACCTTTTGATTTGATATTTTTACAATTAAAATAGCCTTGTCACTAGCATGATGATGCCTTATCAATCATGTCTAATGCTACAAATTCTTGAGAACAAACTGTTGATGTTGTTGGAAGTTTAAAAAACATAGGGCTACTTATTGCGGGCCTTTGTCGATAAATGAAGTGAAATTTAGGAAAATGACATTTGAAAAAGAAAAGAAAAATAGTTTTTTAGCCCCGTTTGTTTATCATTATTCAATGAAAATAAATTTTAATTTTTGAAAAATGTGTAGTTAAAAGCAGGAGAAAGTTTTGAGTTTACATGTAAAATATTTTACTGTGAAAATGCGTGGTTGAAAATGAGTTTGAGAAAAAAAAATTGTGAATTTTACCTTCATGTGTTAAATTAAAAATACTCTCTTGCTTTTTCTATTCGATGGAATGAAAATGACCTCGACATAAATTCTATGCTCAACCGTAATCGAGACAGTTTAATCAAGTGAAGACGACTATGGTCAAGTAGACAAAGACTTTGAAAAGGTTGAAACTTCAAATATCAGAATTTTGGTGAACTCGATCCCAACAAGTATAGGTATTCATGAGAGTTGAACGAGTTTTTATTATTCCTTCAAAAAATGAATTCAATCGGAATAAGGGCGTAAACATTTTTGGGTGAGAGAGCTTAGACCCGAGTGGCCTATTTCAGAAAAGGAACATCCCAAGCCGGGTTTTTCCCCTTTCCAAATATGTAGTAATTTTTGATGTAAAATGATCCTTGAATTTTGAGGTTCAAATCATGAATAATGAATACAGTGGCTGTCTGTCTGTACTTAGAGCAACTAAAATATATCAAATCCCCGATGTCACGTGAATGGGTTATGGGTGGGAAAAAAGCCACTTTAGTTTAATGTCGTTTACATTTCTAGGAGGAATTGAGTGTGCATGGGAATCTCTAGTGATTGAGATTGGACTCTCTCTTTAGCGGACATGGATCATAACCCTTGTATCATGCATTGTCTCGCATGTACAAGGCATCAATGGTCCCCCATCCCTCTTTTCATAGATATATAAAGAGAGAGTGTCGCGTATAGTCCGAGCGTTTTATCGTTTATTACGTTTGGAGAATATATAGTTGAAAATGAATTTTTTTTTTTTTTTTTTTAAAAAAAAACTTCAACCCAGGGCTAAGACTTGCTTCCCAAAAATATAAGTTTTCGAGGTAAAGAAGTAGTTTCTAGTGTTGGCAAAATAAATAATTAAGTTTGTCTTAATTTTAAGCACAATCAAATTTATATATTTTAAGGTAGATCGTTCCAATAGTTGACAGTGTTTTTTATTGCCTAGCCAGGCTAGTGTAGCATCCAAATTTCCACGTATCTTCCTCTCTCATTTCTCACTCTTGGTCAAAATGTATGTAAATAGAGAATTGTGTACTATATCACTTAATGGCATGTTTGGACAAACTTTATTGCTGTTTCTCTTCATTAATTTTATCAAACTTTATTTAATGTAATTTAACACACCAAATAAATCTTATTAATTATTGAAACTAGCAATTCTAGCAGGTTGACAATTCTCCATGGTAAAAACTTAAGTGCTCGTTGTTATCCACTACAGATGAACTAGATTTTAATTTATTTAAATAAATTTAATTTTTATTTCAAAAAAATAAGAGTTTTGAGTTTCAAAAATTAGAGTGTGTTTGGGACACATTCTTTTGAAAGAATGTATTATTGAATAATAGATTGATGGAGAATGTGTAGTTAAAAATGAAGGAAAAATTTGCCAACAAAATTACGTATGCCAAAATATTACATATACAATTATCTGGGATGAAACAAATGATGATCCATAAAGGGATATATGAAAATATAATTTATTATATTTTTCAACTCGACAAATGATGTGTAAGTGTTTTCACGTCTATTTAATTTTTCATGATGTATTTTGATCCGAGATTCAATTCAAAGACCGTATAAAGTTTGTTATAGAAATGAAACAAGAGAAAATATATTGAAAAGAAATTTCTTTTCTATTATCTTAAAATTATTTTCTATTCGAAATATTGCATGATCCATTCCATGTGATTTCCTAATTATTGTTGTGGATGCTATAATTGTGCACATCATAAGTGAATTGGTATAAGTGCATCACAAGAATAAGTTAATTAATTGGTACTCGATAAGTACTTAATTACATGTTCTATTAATTTGTTACTCCAAATTGTAATAATTTAACATAAAAATTCATGTCTACTAGCAATTGATGTGTAATTTTCAGTTTTGTGAAATTTGTCCTTTGAAAAATATCACATAACATATGACTATACAATTTTGAAAAGAAAAAACACACACACACACACTTCCCCGTCCAACACTTAAACTTCAAAGGAGTGTACACAATGATGTAAACTAAAAGTTGCACACTAGGTCTATTTGATAGGGGATATTTTCCATGGAAAATGAAATTCAAATTCCATTTTCCATCTTGGCATGTTTGATGGTACAAATTTTCCCTAGAAAACTTTTTCCACAATTCCCTCACACATGTGCCAATTCCATGATCTGATGGAATTGGTTTTCCCACCTTTTTAGTGGGAAAATGAATTTCATGTTGCTTTTTTTTTTTTTTTTGGTAATGGAAACAAATTTCATAATTAATTGTAAAAAAATTTTGCACTTTAATTGACAATTTTCATGTAAAATAAAAACAAACGAATACTAAACTTTGATTAAAAAAATGATTTTTAGGAATTTTTTTTTTTTTACTTTTTGGCAATAGAAACAAATTTTATAATCAATTGTGGAAAAAATTATCACTTTCATGGACAATTTTCATGTAAAATAAAGTCAAACAAACCCAAAATTTAAAAATTTTCCATGTGAAAAATTATACTAATCAAACACACTTAATTTCCAATTCCCTGGAAACAATTTTTCTAGACAATTACTTTATCTGAAATTCATTTTCTTTCCACTCATTTTTCACCATTGTAATCAAACGGACCCTTAGCATTATTTGTGTGGAAAATAAAGTCTATTGTCCCAGGGAATTTAAAAATAAGAAAGTTCGAGTACCTTGTTTTAATAAAAATATATATTATGTCGCCTATTTCATTGGTCAGATACACGTTACACTGAGATTTAGATGGGGAATTTGTATTATTGATTCCTAACTTCTTGTTGGTATAGTAATTCGATCTCCAATTCTAAATGAATAAAGAACATAGTTTTCAACTTTTCATTATTATTATTGTACAATTTGTACTGATGAATATAATTCAAAATCCTTTTTAATCTCGAAATCTCGTAAAAATAATTTTATTTCAAATATCTTAACACATCCAAGATAAGTAACAAAATTAGCTTTACAAAGTTGGATGTGTAAGGAACAATTGATAATTTAACAAGATTTTGATGGTCTAGGAATTGATTGTGAAAATAAAAAGAACTTTGAAACCACCTTATTCATTTTTTTCGAAGCAAACCAATAGAAGAAATAAAAATAGGATATAATCAACCAAAGGACATTTAATTGAGGAGTTGACAGCAAAAGAAGCGATAGCATGGGCCATCCCATTCCCCAAACGAGGAATGTGACGACAAGAACCGAAGCCTACATAATTCAAAAGCCCTACAATATACCTTATTCGTTTTAACGAAATATTAGAGATTAACTTACTACTTGAGTAATAATCAAGAACAAACCATGCAATTTTCCTTTTTAATGAATGAGAAAGAGAATGAGACAACCTGACACACATCACGGCTAATTTAGTGGCAAGATAACATTGCCCTCTTAACTTCCTTCTAATTTTCCAACTTTAGATTCTTCAATATATATATATTTAGAATACTTCGAGGAAATGCTGTCCAACCCCACTTTGATTCTATATAATCTCTTTTCTTGAGTTTATTTCCTCAGTTAATGCACAGGCATGGCTTCATTTCTTGCTGTTTCATTGGTGTTCATATTCTCTCTTTGCAGCAGTTTGGCTTCTGCAACAAATCCTCCAGTTCTTGACGGTAATTAACTTTAATATTGCATATTTTCAAATTTTCTTCAATTTCATTTTCTTTCATTATGTTTCAGGCATGTCTGATTAGATAAATTGGAAATCACTATAGATAATATTAAGGATGAAAGAAATTGAAGTAAAGTATCTTATTTTTTTGTATATACTCATGCAGTATTGTTCAACATTATGTACCTTGGTATCTTACATTCTACATGTGCTCATTTGTGCACTTCCATATTGCGAGGGGCATCTATGTATTAAGAATAGTACTAAAGTGCTATTCTTAATAATTGATTTTAATTTAAGTTAAAGTTAACAATTGATTTTAACATATTTCAAAGGATTCACAACTTTTCAACTACACGTTTCCTAATTTTTATCAAAATCTATTAAAAATTTGATTTTAACCTCCCACCAAAGAGGGGCATAGTATTTAATTTTACATCTCATTGATATTGATTTGTAAAGCATTTTACAATTCAAGTCACTGAACAAAAATAGACAAAAGAGTTTGTCACAGCACGACATGATCCCAAGTTGAAAATGGATAACTTACTTCTTAATTTACGTGTGACTTATTTTTTTTTTCGAACTTTTAGTTAAAAGAGTAACATGTTCAAACATGTTTAAGTAGATTTCTTTGACTTTCTGCAGGACTACTTGACAATGGAAACTTCGAAATGGGGCCAAAACCATCAAACCTAAATAAAACAGTGATCATAGGGAAATACTCGCTCCCCAAATGGATAATCAGTGGTATAGTCGAGTACATCTCTGGTGAGCCACAGCCCGGTGGCTTCTACTTCGCCGTCCCTCACGGTGTTCACGCCGTAAGGCTTGGAAATGAAGCTTCCATTTCTCAATATATCAGGAACCTAAAGCCAGGGTCCATATATTGCCGAGTTGGAATTGGTGGTGTTGTGAGAGATTGGACTGGAAAAGCTAAAGCATCGCTGATGTCGAAAGGAAAGTTTTCCCGGATCCTTTTTTGGCCGAATCCATCAGAGCTATGGAAGTTGTTACATTGTGCAAACAGCTTGAATTGAGGTCGATCATTTTAGAGGGTGACGCAATGAATGTTGTAAAGGGACTAAATGGTGAACTGGAATTTTGGAACTATGCTGGCTTACTGATTCAAGACACGAAGAGCATGTTGGGTTCTTTTCATTTTTGGTCCGTGTATCATGTACCTAGAAAGGTTAATGTGGTTGTTTATACATTAGCACAGGCAGCACTTAAACTCTCTGAGGAGAGAATAGTGTTGGAGGAAACTCCTCATTGTATCCAAAATTTGCTTGCTTTTCAAAAAAAAAAAAAGTCTTATTATATATTCAGGAAAATCGTGCACGTCATTATCTATAAAATCAAGCACCAGTTTCCTTTTTTGGAATTACAATCTATACATCAAAAAACTAGCAGTTGCTATCTTCGAAAAACTACATCTGTGTTGGACAGATCAGTACAGAATCCCAGCAAGAAACGAACTCTATATCAAAAGATAGGGATATACCAAACAAGATACAAGATATAGCTCCAGCAAGAAGTTAACTTTGCACCAACTTCCTACAATAGATAGGAATGTATATTTGTAATCCAAATCAGAATTAAAATTGTAACCCAACTCAATCTCTGTAAATCTATTTAAACCATCAATATACTTCACTACGGGCAAGCAAGTCAGCCTATTTTTTGCTCAGTCTATTGAGTATTTTCATGGTATCAGAGCTTTTTGCTCACGCATAGCTTTCGATCCTTTTCGCCTTCCTTCCATGGCCACCACATCCAATTCCTCTACAGTATTTGTTGCCCCGAACTTGAATCAATTGGTATCCACTAAACTTGATGGATCCAATTATCTCATCTGGTTATCTCAAATGGTTCCTATACTCAAAAGCAATGATTTGATGGGCTTCGTGGATGGTTCCGAGCCGTGTCCATCAAAATTTCTTCCTGATGATCAAGGAAAATTAACTACTGATATCGACCCACAGTTTATCATATGGCACAAAAAGGATCAATTTGTGCTCGGTTGGATCAATGCTACTCTGTCCAACACTGTGGCTCCTACTGTATTCGGACTCACCTCTGCCAGTCATGCTTGGACTGCATTGGAAAAGAAGTTTGCTTCCAACTCTCGATCTCGCATTAGCCATCTCAAACGCAAGCTTCAATCCCTCACTCAAGGCTCCCGTAGCTGCTCTATTTATCTTGATGAAGCTAGGGAAATTGCAGCTAAACTTAGTGCCGTGGGAAAAACAGTTGATGACGATGACTTAATCACCTATGTCACTCATGGCCTAAACCCCATATTTCTTCCCTTCATGACCTCCCTGTCACTAGCCACCCGAGATAATCCACTATCATTTGATGACTTTCGAACTGAACTCCTCTCTAATGAACTTCTCCTAGATTCACAATTCAAAAATAACTCTAATGAAACAAATCAGTTTGCCTTATTTGCACCTAAACCTCCTTTCAACTCCTTTACCAGAAACCCAAAATATTCCCAGAAACCAACCCATCCTGCATTCCCTAGTCCTCATTCCCGAGTCCACCGTAACTTCATCCCACCTTCGAAACCATCATCCAGTCCAGTCCCTACTCACCATCACTATAATACTCCCAAACCATCACCAAATATCACCTCTCCCCGTTCTCCTTGCCAGATATGTGGCAAATCAAGTCATCAAGCCTTGGATTGTTTTCATCGCATGGACTATGCATATCAGGGAAGACATCCTCCTGCTCAACTTGCTGCAATGGTTGCTCACACCAACTCTGAACATGAAACTGAGACATGGTTTGCTGATAGTGGAGCTAATCAACATATTACGGCTAATCTTGAGCAACTCACTCTTGCACAGCCATACACAGGGCGAGAACACGTCGCAGTCGGTAATGGTCAGGGTTTAAGTATTGCGAATACTGGTAATGCAACCTTTCATACCCCTGATAATCAATTTCAACTCAAACATGTCCTACATTGTCCTAATGTCGCAGCTAATCTTCTCTCCATTAATCAGTTTTGCATTGACAACAATTGTTTCTTTATTCTCACTAAATCCCACTTTTTTGTGAAGGACACACTGTCGGGGAAGACACTACTCGAAGGCAGGAGTGAAGATGGTATCTATCCATTTCCTATGCAGTAGATTTCTCTCAACAAGCTTCGTGCCTTAGCTGCCGTCGCAGGAATAAAAGCGCCACTTTCAATTTGGCACTCTAGATTAGGACATGCTTCCATTTCTGTTATTTCTCACATTTTGAATAAATACAAATTACCTGTTCTTGGTTCAACTAGCAAAATGGAATTTTGTAATGCTTGCCCACTCGGTAAAGGAAAGCAACTTCCATTTCCAAACTCAAGTCGAGTCTCTAAATTACCCTTACAATTAATTCACTCTGATGTTTGGTCTTGTTCTACTAGCTCACTTAGTGGATGCAAATACTACGTAATTTTCATTGATGATTACTCCAAATTCACATGGTTGTACCCTCTGCATAGCAAATCTGATGTTTATGCTTGTTTTGTCAAGTTTAAAACATTAGTTGAAAATCAATTTTCTTGCAAAATAAAGCAATTTCAATCCGATGGGGGAGGGGAATATAACTCAAATCAATTTAAATCCTATCTTACAAACAATGGCATCCTTCATAGAATATCGTGTCCTCATACACCCCAACAAAATGGGGTCTCTGAACGTAAACATCGCCATGTTGTAGAAATGGGTTTATCTCTCTCAGCCGAGTCTCATTTGCCTTCCACCTTCTGGGTCGATACTTTTCTCACCTCAATTTTTCTCATCAATCGTCTA